TGGCTTTTTTTTCAACTTTATACCTCACCCGTTAGTTTGGGTCTGGCTCATCTCATCATTTCCATTGATGCTTGGGTTAGCTTGTTTGGGCTTGAAACTTCTGCATTGTGCAACCTCTCCCGGAGTTCTGCTCTCTCCCCAGAGTTTGGTTGGGCGGGTTTTACCAATATTACTACCAATACACCTGCTTCCAACATATACATTTGCTTATGTTTGAATAAGAGCATTTTTGCTAAAAGCAGGGGGCATGAGACAGACTCCATCGAACCTCTATACATGTGATGACTTCATATTAGTCTAGACAAGCTCACTCCCTTTCTATCCCTAGAAAATATTTTGCGGGCTGGACTTGAGCTGATTCAGTGGGGTGTTTGCCTGTTTTTGTTCTTTTTTTTGTCCCTATTGTTTAGTGTGATGCTTCTTTCTGTGTATTGGGCACGCCTTGTGCGTATCAAATAAATAAATAAATAAATGATCCATGGGTCGTGTAACACAACTAGTGAAGAGGTTTGCGTTCCATGTCAACCTTTAAAATGTATCCATTAAACTTTGAAAAATTTACGGATCGTTCGTGGTCTCTGAAAATCCCAAGATAGTCTGTGACAGAGGTGCTTTCGCGTTTATCCAAATTTCTTGATCACCTACTCCACACGACCTTTGAAAGTAGGATCAAGATAGAGTCACTTCGTATTATTTCTTTGAATACCAAATTCGCAACGGTGGTGAGCAATAGGTTTTCTTAGAAACACATGTAGCAATATATCCTCGACTCAAGAAAGGTGCAAGTACTGACTCTATTTGAGAGTGTTTGAAATTCAAATGGCGTCTGGGGAAAGGGGAGGGGGTATTCCGATGCGACAAATCGTACATAGGAGAGACAGGTGGAATGCTAAGGGCCGCATGCACTAACATTTCCGCTGGGGAGGGGATCGCAGCTTCAGAAGAAAGCTTCATATCCTGAAGCTCCGGATATCTGGATTTCACGCTGTCTACCTGTCCGTAAGTACTCCCACCATCCTTCACTATGAACATATTGAGCAGAAGCGAGAAGCTGTACAAGCCGCATTTTCCAGCTTTTTGTAGGATCCCCTGATGATCCCTGGGGGACGAACATCTATTCTTCAAAGTCATTTTTCTTTCTCCGAAGTTAACGAAAACCTTCCAAAGTTATACTGAACATCTAACACAACAGTGCTAAGCATGTTGCTGATGAGAACAAATGAATTTTTGAAAAATCGAATTTTTCGGTATACCCCAGATCTCGACCTGTGGATCATCGAAAATTTCATGACTTCAAAACATCATTTGTTCTTGTCAGCAACATGCTTAGCACTGTTGGGTTAGATAATATGCACAACTTTGGAAGTTTTTCGTTAACTTCGGAGGAAGAAAAATGACTTTAAAGAAAAGCGCTGGGGATCATTAGGGATCATACAAAAGCTGGAAAATGCGATTTGTACAGGTTCTCGCTCCTGTTCAACATGTTCATAGTGAAGGATAGTAGGAATACTTGCGGATAGGTACTCAAGGTGAAATCCAAGTATCTGGAGTTTTGAAATATGAAGCTTTCTTTTAAGCTGCGATCCCCTCCCCGCGGCCATGTTAGTGCATGCGGCCCTAAGCCTGCTGAAAGAACTATATAAAAGACGAGGAATCACCTGAAGGCATACAAGTGCATCGAATTGAGGAAATAACTTCAAAGTAAAGCGTGTCATTTTGACATATGAAACTAAGACCTGCGCTGGAAAAGCGTAAACAGGAGAATGGTCACAAGTCGAAAGCCAATTCAAACGGTTGTAAAGTCTTCACACTTTATAATCACGGGGCTCCAGGGTACCATTTGATAAAGCAAAGTAAACTCTAGAAGAGGGTGTCCAAAATTTTGCATCAGCTTGGTCTTACCGTAAGTTTGCATCCAGAATCTGAGTCGTACAGGAGGCTCAAAAAAAGGGAAAGTTCATACCTTCGTTCAAAAAAAGATCCTGGGATCCCCAAGCTGTTTACACAAATTGCGTACCACATCAGACACTAACATGTACCGTTCCCGTATTTTTTCCTCATCTATAAATCAAGAAAACAAAAATTTTTATGATTATACAGAAACGGAGCTAACTGTTCCCACTCGTGTTATTGTATAGTACAAGCCTTTAGAAATATAATAAATTTTCAGCTCTCCAAAGGCCATTTTTCGAATTACCGAATGTAACTCTCATCACTCAGGGTTCCATATTATTATAGAATCAATGTTTCTCGAAAACCAGGGCCATAAACTAAAATGCAGCTAGCAGTAACGGGCCGAGGGACAGGCCCTCCCCCCTGGGTCGCAAAATGTTCGAAAGTTACTTACATGGGTTATAAAATGTGCAAGTGACTTATTTATTTTTGTAAATAATCAAAATTTTTGAAGAAAAATCTATAAACTCATATAAGCCTTGAAAAAATTTCTTTGGGGCTCGCAAAAATTCTGAGAAACATCGCAAAAGATTTTTTGGAGTGCGTGGCTGAAGGGCCAGGCATATTTCACGCGTAGTTGCGATGCGACTTTTCAATATTCCAACTGTCCATAACTCACTGTAAGCACATTTCAAATGTACAGAAGTTAGGTCATTTTATCAATCCACGTAAGTTATACACACTTATATGTGCAGTTTGCTAGTGTTGGATCTGAAGAATTCTGGCGAATTGCCAAATCGCATGGCGACTGAAAACGCGTGAAGTATGCCCGGGCCTTTACATGCTGATTACAGATATCACACTTTCTCCGCAGAACGTCTTCCCGTGTGGTTACGATAGGTGTACGATAGGAAGTCAAAATCATGAATTCGGTTGGAATTCGGTCAATATGGCTTATTCAACATGCTGATTGCGAATATCACCTTCATCCGAAAAATTTTCTTGTTCCTCTTCCCCGAACAAAAATTCTGGGACCGTCACTGGCAGATAAGATTACCCCATGCAGCTCGCGCCTAAAATGAGCTAAAAAGGCGACATTGTTCGATCTAGCAATTTCGACGTGCGATGCTCTTGCAATAAAAGCGCTTCTAACTTCGTCTGCGAAGACGTTCACCATTTAAACAGATTTGCATGCAGCCAGATTGGATTGGTTATCTCAACTTGTAACCATTCTTTTTTAAAGTGAGGACCTTACGAGGAAAGCTACCTAACTTAGCTCGGCCTTTTGGCAAGTGACATAATGTTCTGAATCAGCTTCGAACGCTGATTCCAAATATGCTAAGTTCAAAGTTGATTCAGAACATATATGTCACTATCATACACCAAAGCAAGTTATGACCTTTTTCCTGCGCAAAATTAACATACTACTGAACATGGGAAGACTGTCTGTAGACAACAATCTGCAAGAAAAAAGGTGCTGAGATATCGAAATAACACTAATTCAGTCTTTTCTCAACAAAAAAAAGCTTAGATGATGATCCGTGATGCTAGTAAGTCGATGAGTATGCTAATTTTGCAGATGATCCGTGATGCTAAGTCGAGAGTATGCTGATTTTGCACAGGGGAACAACCCATGACTCGCTTTGGACTGGTATTCGGCAGCTAGGAATAGCATATTTGGAATCATCGTCTAAAGCTGATTCAAAATATCTATGTCCCTTTTCAAAAGACCGAGCTAAGTTAGGTAGCTTCCCTTGTTAGCGCGAAAAATTCAGAAAGAATGTCATTATCAAAGTAGTGATTTTCTACCTTTTCTTAGCTCTATGTGGTATGATCGCACATAGAAGTCATAGGTATAAGAATGTCCGATGACCGTCTTTTTACTTCCAACGTGCGAACTTGCTGCAGTCGGATTCCACAGTTGATTTTTCGAAGATTGAAACTTTTGTCTCCTGCTATTTTTAGCATTGTGGTATAGATCAAACTGCCTATGATTTAATCCACACAGGAGAAGCAAAATGTCCAAAAACGTTGGTTCATATAATATCCACAAGAACTGGGTTTTTGTAAAATATTACTCACACATATAACAACATGTTCAAATTTATAAAAACAAAAACCATGTGCTCACTTACGTCCCCAGTCTAGATTTGATGGCTAAAAGCTATTCTGATACAGTGTCATTCTTGTATAGTTGAAGTGTAGATGAAGAAGCTGACGTTTTCAACCGCTTTTTGATGCAGTACGCGAATCATTTTATGGTTGTGAAAGCTACCACCGCGTATTAAACCACTGCTGTACTCAACGCTACCTGTTTTCGTCATTAAATCATCGTCTCTAGTAGGGGCTTGATCTACTCAAGAGCGGAAATTTAACTCCTGAGCGCACTGATTTTGAGAACGCCGCATACCACTACGCTATCCTTGCCCATATAAAATTGAGTAAAACCAGATTACCGTTTGTACTTGCGACTGTTATCTCCATGATACCACGCAAAAAACGAGGAATATTTCTCTCCTACCGGCAAAGTGACTTCGGCTCTATGACTTTGCTGTGCATATCCCATAGAGCACTGCTACCAATGCGCTTTCATGTAGAGTTTTTGTAAGTAATCGACAGCTAGATTCAAAGAACATTCTAAGTTCTATCACAAAACTTTTGCTGCTTTGAGCAGTCGGAAAAAAGGGTTAATGCCGCGACAAGTTGCGACGAGGAATGCCTCTTCGGCCAATGTGTCGCTCAAAATAAGAATTATATCGTTGGATCAGTGATAAATTCTAATCTAAAGATTGCAATTTTCATCCGCGAAGTCCTTTTTTAACTTAATCACACTTGTGGCCATGTTGCACTTGGTATAGGCGCACGGCAATACTCGCTCACGATAGAATGGTGCAGCTCGAGTGCGGTCATCACGCTCAAAGAATCGCATGTTTACCTACTTCGAGCATTTTTTTGTCTATGGCAACACAACCTTTTCCTAAAAGCGTTTCAGAGAAAAGTTTGGCAGTTTTGGGTTAGTTTTTGTCACAAGTTCAGATAAACTGCTTGTTTCGTAATAGCGTCAAAGTCTTAATCAAGTGCTTTTGTTTTTGCTACTCCTACTTCAGTGGTGGTCAAAAGAGAAGAGTTAGCATAGGAATAGCGCTGCTAAATCCATCCAAACTTGTGATACTTGACGAACCAACAGCAGGAATTGATCCAAAGGTTTGCCCTCTTTTCAACAAAATTATGATTTCAGTTAATCCTAATCAATTCTAGACACGACGTCATATTTGGGAGCTGCTAAAACAGATGCGTTCAAGGGGCAGAGCCTTAGTGCTCTCGTCACACTCGATGGAAGAATGTGAAGCGCTTTGTTCGTGTCTAGGTGTACTCGTTAAGGGGAGGTTTGTGGCGATAGGAGCAAGTCAAACACTCAAATCAAAGTCAGTTTTATGTATTTGTGGTTGATTATAATTTATTATTTTGTTTCGCGATCTTCAGGTATGCCAATAACTACTTCCTTTTCACAATTTTGAAATCACTTGACGACAGAAATAAGGTATTTTTACAGATTAAATCAGGAATGAATAGTTGATAATAAGAGTTCAGGTAATATACGCGGTTCTGTCTACATTCCCATTGAGCGAGCTGGTCACAAAACGAGAGGATACATTGAACCTCAAATTCAAGGCTAGTGTGGAAAATGATATAATTTTCCAGCTTTTACAAAATGCAGTTGAGAGCACAAGTCTTCCAGAATGTGCAGCGTTATAATGGCGTCATAGTTGCCAAAAATCCAAATTGCATCCCCTCTCGGGCCCGGTACAAATCAGGATCGGTATCATCGCCCGTTTATGTAAGGATTCCCCTTGAGGTCGTAACCCAATCAGAATAAGCAACCGCGAAAAAGCTTCACTTAAGGCAAAGATACATAACGCGACCCATCGCCTCGCGATTCTTGTGACATGACAATTCTTACGAGCTCATTGAATGTCAATCATCTTGCATTTCGCCTCTGATCGTTATTCTGCATTGGTGAAAGACTACCACGACCGGATGACAGGAACAATGGATTCGTAGCAGTTGTTTCGAGAAAATTGCGAGACTATGAAATCGCGTAATATCCTTGAGACCCTTGAGTCAGTGATGTTGACTTCTCCAATCTCGCCTGGCTTTTGGATCATGTGAAAATCCGAAAACGAGCATCCCTCTAATTGATCAGATTAAGTGTCCGGAAATGTTGATAAATCTCACACTTTACTCAATAAATAACGATTGAGACTTTACAACTATTGTGCTACAAGAAGTTTTGGTTTTTATTTGACTTAATTTGATATTTGAAGATCAGACGTCCGGATTGAGCTTCCTGAGCTCATATCTCGCTTCAAAGCAAAGCTTTGCAGTTAAGAACAGTATCAGTGAAACCAGCGTTTCAGGCTAATTTCCAAATTTTTTCAAAAAAGCCGGACTAGGTTAGATGCATGCTTATCTGGGGAGATTAATTTCCACAGCCCAAGAATGCGATCGAGATCCTGCCGCATACAATGCTTATCTGTTTCACTAGGGTAGCGAATGGTAGGCAAGACTTCGATCGCTAACCAAGCCTTTCCCGTGAGCGTGCTCTACAATTATCCCGACGGGTTGATTAGCGATCAAAGCCCCATCCCGTCACTCGCAGTGGACCAAAGGCTACTCCATGCGATCGCTTCCGCGTTTGTCGCAGACACTTCTGCATCAGCGCTGCTTGCATCCCGATGCGATCGATTTCGGATTCGATTGAGATCTTATCGAACAACAACATCACCTACGACTACTATGTTGCAGTTTAAGGGTGCTCGAAAGAAAAGACGCTTTATAGGCATGATATAAATCATCACAGTACCGAAGGGCAACAATATGTTGGAGTAGACTGCCAATAAGTTTCCACACTCATAAATCTTATAAATTTCAAAATTAGAAACTTAAGAACGCCTCAAACATTTTTGTGCTTATCGAGCTAATGAGTTCATCTACTTATCATTGATTATTTACAATTTCTCAGACAATCACAGGCTCTCAGCCGGCAGCCACAAAGCCACCGCGAAAACCCACCAAAAGCGCGGTCATCGCCTCACTGTCGCTTCCCGCTGAGAACTGGCAGCGAGCGGGCTGCTATAAAGCCTTCAGCGCGAAGCGAAAGCGGCGGTTTTGCTTCGCGCTGAAGGTTTATAGCAGTCCGCTCGCTGCCAGTTGTCAGCGGGAAGCGACAGTGAGGCGATGAGGCCACCGCGCTTTTGGTGGGCTTTCGCGGTGGCTTTGTGGCCGCCGGCTGAGAGCCTGTGGTTGTCTGAGTTACAAGGAGAGGATATTAGTCGAAAGCACCGATCCAGATGAGACATACATCGTCGTGACCTGCTCGGAGCGCTGATTTTCAAATCTGACAGGAGCTCCTTTGGGTGAGGAGCTATGACCGTTTCAAGAGCCAAAAATTGAATGGGTAAAGAGAGTAAAATTAATTGTTACAACATGTATATTTCGCAGATAGACTCGTTTTGAATGTGAGTATAGCAGACAGACATTTTTCTTTGCGCAGAGTAACCTGACAGACATCACTTCCCCATTCGAGCCCAACTGGAGACTTCTGCGCATAGTTTTTTTCTTCCCTTGATTTCAAATTTTCTTCACAGAAACAACCATAACTCGTTGCCCAAAGGCGCTCCGCAGTTAATTTTGCCAGATTTGAAATCAGCGCTCTGAGCACGTCCAGATGATATATGGCTCATCTGGATTGGTGCTTTCGACTAAGTATCCTCTCCTTGTTAGACCTATTACATTAACCTATTTATTTAACCTATTTCATTTTACACCTATTATTAGGCCTGTTACACAACCTGTGCAGGTCTTATCAAGTTAATTCTCAGAAAAAAAACCAATATCTTATTCTTGCAGATTCCACGAAGAGAAGGGGACAAGCTTTCGGAACTGTACGAAAAAGCACAAACGATGGCAACGTCACTCTCCCTCAATGACTTTTCTTTACTACAGGGTTCATTAGAAGACGTTCTTGAGTTTTTGAACAAAAAGTACGGAGAAGAAAACCTTGATGTTTGAATAAAAAGCCTTAAATCTTAGAAAATTAGTATTTATATAGTCGTCTTCGAGTCATGCAATAAATTTTCCGCAGCTTAGATCGTTGAATCAATCACCATTATCAAATTACCAAATCACCTACATTTTTCGTTGAGTGGCATCAAATTATTATAAATTGCCCTTGCGTCAAGGAAGCATAAGATTGCTTTCGTATGTTAAAACCAGTCATCTCTGCTTCGGAGATTCGCAGTGCTCATCATAGAATGCCAGGGTCGACTTACGTTTTGTAAGTTTACCCTTTCGAAATTGCCCTACTATGCAATCTTCTAGTTTCAGAATAGTTAACGAATTATTACTCATTGTGATTTTTGTAGCAGACCAATTCCAAGCAGATGTGGTTCATCATCACAAGTCATTATCGTGACGCTCTTTCCTACATCTATCCACAGAGCCTTGATATTATTTGAAATGTCAAAAAAAATGACTTGTAACAATCAAGGCCTTTTTTAGTCCGTTAACGGAAGGCCACTCCTGAAAATCAACAATAAAAGTAAGATGCTATGTACACATTAGGTTGTCCCGAAAGTTTTGTCCGTTTTTACAAACCACTATGAAACCACGCACAATAAAGACCTGATTAAGTTTTGATCAGCATTTGATGCAGCTTTTCCTTCTCTTATGGATACATTCACGTAACACAATCTTGTATGCTTTTTTGGATAATTGCCAAAATTCCAAAACCATGAATTTTATCTGCTCAAAGTTACCCCAATTTTTAAATTCCGTTTCAAAGTTTAGAAAAGGTTTAAGCTCCAAATAGAGCAATTCTCGGAGTACAAGGCAGCATTTTTGAGTCTTCTAATCTGCTGATTTTAGCCAAAAAATGATTTTTCGGAGGTCTCGATTTTTGGCAAAGTAATGAAACACGCAGCTGCAGCAAATTCACGAAAGCTTTTGAAATTTCTGCGAATTAAAACATGATTCTCCTTAAACATTATTTATGCAACATGAACAGTTTGATTTGCTTTGAAAAAGCAGCTTTTTGGAATTTTGGTACCTTTACGTAGTTAACGGACCTGGTAACGTGGCTCATGTAATCTAAAATAGAGAGAATGTAGTCAAAGGTTTGTTCTATATAACAGTTACCAGCGCTTTGCGAAACATTAGTACAAAAATTTCAAAAATTCATGAAATTGGCGTTATTGCTGAGCTGCTCAAAAAGCCATGGCGATAACATTGCAAAGACAGGGTAGACTAGAAAGCAACACAGTTGTTAAAAAAGAGGGTAAAAATTTGAATTGAATGGTGCGTAGGTCGTCTATTTGGTGCTCTGTGAGTTTTAGTGAGCGATGAAAAAACGGACAAAACTTTCAGGACAACCTAATATTTCTTCATAAAGCCTTCTTACGTTCTATCTAGAATAATCAGGAAGTTCGGCTACTGGAATTTACCTCTCATCGGTTTTGATTTCAAGCGTTGATTCAGATACATTCTGCAAAACGCTGCCTAATTCCACATGTTTGCAAACAATCAGTGGTAAGAAACAGAGGGTGAACAACTTACCAGATTTGTCACGCATTTTTGATAGAACTCAATATAATAATATATCAACGGTAGTAGAGGTTCTTGCATGCCAAAACAACTCTTCGTTAATTTGAAATTTATTCTACTATAGTGATGGATTTTTGCTAAAGGAAAGGATGAATAAAAGCATTTTATATCTAAATCACTCCGTACTCTAACCCCGAACTAAGATGTTCTGAAGACGAAAGTGTTGGAGTTTAGGAAAACAAGCTGCTGACTAAGTACTGCAGTTTGCGAAAGTTTAGGAAAACAAGCTGCTGACTAAGTACTGCAGTTTGTATTTACGATAGCCGCTCATTTATCCTATGAGAAGATCAAAAGCAGGCCCTTTCTTTTTACGTTTTCGCACTTATAGGCCGATTGATCTGAAGCTGAATTTGATACGCGCGGTGCCGAGATCGGGGGACGGATAATGCGTGAACAAAGCCACAACAATGCTAACAATATACGCGTATGCAAATTGGCGCATCTCAGGAGTAGCTATTTATTTACGCGCAAATCCTGTCGCCCAGTCTCGGCACTTCAAGTACACTACGTTAGGTATCAAATTTACTAGCGTACAGGGCTTATCAATTGCAGTGTTAGATGCATCAGCATCTCCATTCGCGGCTGCACTCTGCACCTCTTCCGCGAGCACGCTTTCTAATAATATCCAATCGAGTGAGGCTCCGCCTTTCCCATGCTCGCGATAGGAAAGTAATCAGAGAGCATGTTTGGAAAAGATGTGCAGAGTTTTGCACGAGTTGGAGATGTTGGTGCAGCCGACACTGCAGCTGATAAGCTCTGTATAAAGTACCATTTGATTCAGTTGGCTTGGCGGGAAGGCGTGACCTAATTGAGACTAAATCATAATCAGGGAGCACTCGCGCGCGAGAGATGCGGGTGCGTCGCGGGCGCGAGCGGCCTCAATTAGGCCATAAAGTCCCGCCTTCTCAAAGTCAAGACAGTCGATTCAAAAGTTATGTAGCAACTATTTTGAGTTAAAGATGTAAAATGTAATGCATTTATTCGCACATAAGCTATTATGTATTGTGACAACACAAAAAAGCAAGTGGCTAAGAAAAATATCATTACAATTTGAAGGGCAGGTACGACAGATATAGGACTGTTGATGGGCAAGTAAAACTGCCGGAAGTCTTTTCGCAATGGCGAGCATTCATAAACGTTTCAATTTGATAAAACCGTGAGAAGAAACGATGACACCATAGTTTTTTGCCTTCTGAGTATAAACTTAAAAATAGTTTTTAAATTATATTTCCCTAATAAAATGAAATACAACCTAAGTTTTTGTCAGAGTCGCAGAAGCTGTTGTTTCAGCTACAATCGTATCAGTGCCGCTACTTGTATAGCTTGTTCCAAATCGTTCATTCTAACATAAGAAAATTGAGCCAGTCAATGGAAACGAAATGAGATCTAAGGGCATTACCTCCCCCCCCCCCACATCAGCATGAGCTCTTCTACCAAGAACATTTACTGAGATTGATGCTCCAGTCTCTACATTAAATGTGATACTAGGAGCTGCCTGGCTTGGTAACATGTCTTTCTCCAGCAGCTTCAGAATACAAATTAAAACGCTTATTTACAAATTGCATGTTAATTTTCACCTCATCATCGTCAGCAACTCCAGCTTTTGTAGTCTTTCTGAAAATATCAGCCCCTATAGGTCCTTTTGTTTTAGAAATAATTTCATCTCCCTAAAACAGTTACCTTGCGCAGCTTTCAGATTAGTAGTACCTCATGTGCTTTAGCTTTATAGTCTGCTTAGGAATATCAACTCCTTTTATTTGTGTAATTTTATCGGAAACAGTTTCATCTCCCTGGGAAGAGTGCTAGAAGAACACAGCAATGATAACTATTTATCAGCAATCGAATTTACCTCAGTTGTGGGAGACTTTACTTCTTTTCTTTTCAGCACTGCGTTCAGCGTGTGTCCTCGCCTTTACTAAAAGACTGTTCCAAATTACCATAAGCTAAGCCTAACAAGGCAGAGATGCATCTGTTGTAGGTGACCGCGGCGCCACTCTCTTTCGATATAGTCCTCCACTCCACCGTAGGCGGCTCAACTTGGCGCGAAAAGTCCTCATAACTTCTTTCAAAGAAAAGATTAGCAGAAATGGAAGACAGATTTTGAGGGGCGTTCCAAGACAAGTGTATTGGTATGCAAAACATTTCAAAAGGCCATGGACACCGAGTATCCTTCCATTATAAGTTATGCATAACTGTGCGCTATGAAGTGTTGTGCTTCGCAACGATGTGTTACGCCAACTTCTAGGCTTTCCCTCGATTCCGAGTGTGAAAGAGAAGTTGATCGTTGCGACGGTAGAGTTTTACTTCTTCTGCTTCTTCTGCTTCCCCCTTTTCCTGTGGTAAGTTTTCAACAGATTTTAACGATTGCGAACGCTCGCTTCTATCTTTGCTTTTAGCGCTTTTGCTTCGAGCACTTGATTCGATATCATGGGTGTAAATATTTTTGTCATTATTTAGAAATTCACAACTTGTCAGTCACATAACGCTACGGATGCAGACGTGCAAATAATGCGAATTACATATAGAACAAGCATAATCGTTCCGACCACAAAAAATATCTGAGCAAAATTGCTAGTGCTTATCACAGCTATCAAGCAAGCTGCATATAGAAAGTCACTTCAGTTGCTGTTTTGGATTTAAATAACTCACAGCTGTACGATAAAGGAACGAGAAGCGGAATGAGTACACTGCTAAGCCTGCAATCAGCAATTTCACCTGAGGCACATCTAATACGGGGTGTCCCAAAAAATGTGAACACCGTTTGATTGTTGATAACTCCATTGCTTGCATGTCTTTTGCCGAGCCTTAGGCACCATTCTATAGAGCGAGGTCTAGCCTATATCAACAATATGGAGCGAATCGTCGATCGCTTCTTATTACTGTGGGATTACGGTAGAAGCTTCGACAAGGATTTTAGGCTATTGGAGGACATGTTCTCCTCTGAGCAAAACCAAACAAGCCAAAAATTTTATGCTATGGTAATGGAAGCCGCCAAGTTCGAATATAAAATCTCCACTTTACTGTGATTCTTTCCAAGGTTGTCCCAGCTAAACCGTAATAATAAATTTCAAGCATTTGTCAGAAATGTACCTACATTGTCAAAAAGGCTAAAAACACTCGTATAAAGTTGTGTAATGGAATCAGCGTGCGCGAAAACCTGAGTACACAATTTTTCGGAAATTTTTGAAAAGATTTTGTCAAATAGCATTTTTCACAATAGATCCACATGCTAGATGTTCATACCGTAATCCTACAGTAACGAAGAACGAATGGTGATTCGCTCCATACTCAAAATCTATGTTGAACCTCGCTCTACAGAATGGTGCCTCAAGCTCGGCGAAAGACATGAAAGTAGCGGAGTTATTAACGATCAAAAAATGTTCATATATTTTGGGACACCCTGTACTCTC